GCGGTTTTTGCGTATCGCGCAAAGTCGATTTCTCCTCGTCTCCAGTAAGAGAACGTTCAGGAGAAGAGTCCAGTATAGGACTTCGAGTTTTTCTTCTCCTTGGATGGACGTCAGCGTCTTCGTCTGATGAATCGGTCTGGTCGCTTGTCTCCAGGTTAACCCTTTCGATGCCAACGCCCTCGGTCTCCTGTTCGTGAGTAGGAGGTTTCTCCGATTCGTTTAGCGTCGAGTCAGGGTATCTTTTCCGGAATCCTTTTCCGGTAAGTTACCCTGGTCGGTTGTGGGACGATCCGTAGGAGCGCTGAAATCGAGCCTCCTTCCGAGGATCTTAGTGGTTCCGCGAGGGCGAATTGCTCGATTTTCGCGGTTAGGGTTTCAACCCGTTTCGCGAGCGAACCAATGAGCTTTTCCTGCTCTTCCAATTTTTTGTTAAACTCGGAAAGCATCTTTTCGATGGTCTCGGCGTTAGCATTTGTAGCGTTGGCCGTGGACGCATCTTGTGGTGGTGGCGTTTCAACGTTATCGTGTTCGTTGCGAGTTTGGTTGTCACCAGTCATCGTTTCTTCGTTGGACATGTTGCGGCTTCGGTGTAAGATAGATCCGACCCCCCTCCTTCTAGCGCCAAACTATGGAAACCGAAATCCACCTACCGTCAATAAATCGTAAAAAAGGAAACTTCGGGAAAACCCTAAGTTTCCAGAGGAACCGGCTATCTGCAGAACCGCACAACGAAGATTAAGAAAACAATAAACTTAGAATTTAAAAGAGAATAAACGAAATTGAGAGCAAAGAGGTTCTTATTCCGAATCTGCGTAAGAACTGGTACAAAAAGAGTAGCCGAAAAGTCTAAGAACGAAAAACCCTAGTTGAGACGCAGCTCGCTAACAGAAAACGAAAATATTCCTAAATGCTAATTTTGGTGGTGAGAGCTCTGAAAATCGTGTCCCAGCTTCTGCCCTATGCCTCCTGCTTATATACTCCTCCTTAGGCGGTTTTAGTCTTTCCATTTCGCCTGAAACCGAATATATCGGGAATTTTCCATTTCTGACGATCCTTCCTTTTCTTCCGCGGAAATCTTCTATTTATCTTCAAACTTGCCTTTTGTCTTCTGTCTGCGAGTAAACCACCAAAACATTATCGTATCTTTGGGTTTGATTTCGTTAATATCGCGAGATGGGTTTTTATCGTGTTTAGGACCTTCCGGGCCGTTTTACAATAAAACCGTTTTACGACTTTATACGAGACCGTTTCCTGATCCGATGCCGTTTTTACGATTTTCTCGACGTTTTTTATGATCTTAACGAAAAATCTCGGATAAATCGTATAGTTTAGGCGATGTTCGGTGTCTTGATTAACCGTTACCGTTTTATACGATTTCTTAGAGTTCTTTTCGAGAAAGCGGAGTTTTACGGTTTTTATCGTAGAATTCGAACAATAAGTCGGATCGAGACAAAACGAGAGACATTTCGGCCGTGGTTCAGAATGTGACCGTGTCGAAGGACGTAAGGTTCGAATTGGGGATGTGGGAGATCCGGGAGATTTCTAGTTCGCCTGCTGGCGAACTAAGCCAAGCTGGCTTAGTTCGCGTTTTGCGGCGGTTTCGGTTTTTCGCGGTTTTGTAAAACGATTTCTCGAGTTTTATAAAACGATTCTCGAGTTTTATAAAACGATTCTCGAGTTTTATAAAACGATCTTCGAGTTTTATAAAATGATCTTCGGGTTTTATAAAACGATCTTCGAGTTTTATAAAACGATTCTCGAGTTTTATAAAACGACTCTCAAGTTTTATAAAACGACTTCTCGAGTTTTATAAAACGATCTTCGAGTTTATAAAACGATCTTTGAGTTTTATAAAACGACTTCTCGAGTTTTATAAAACGATCTTCGAGTTTTATAAAACGACTTCTCGGGTTTTATAAAACGATCTTCGAGTTTTACAAAACGACTTCTCGGGTTTTATAAAACGACTCTTGAGTTTTATAAAACGACTTCTCGAGTTTTATAAAACGATCTTCGAGTTTTATAAAACGATCTTTGAGTTTTATAAAAAGACTTCTCGAGTTTTATAAAACGATTTTCGAGTTTTATAAAACGATCTTTGGGTTTTATAAAATGACTTCTAGTTTTATAAAACGACTTCTTGGGTTTTATAAAACTATTCCTTTTGTATTTCTGCGGGAATTTTGGATATTGATTCCGTCGTACCGATTTCGACCCCAACAATTGTCCATCCAGGGACGGTTCCTGGGAGCGTCATTCTTGTTCTCTCTTACTCGTGTGTTTTCCTGATACTTGGGTGGAGATTTTCTTGTAGAAAAATACTCACAACTCGCCCTCTTTTCCAAATAAGAATCGCGTGCCTTATGGGAAACACGTTCAACTGTGACATGTGAAGCCGAGGCCTGATGTTTTTGTTGCGTCGGAGGTAGAACCATGCGGTTAAATACATACTCACGTTCCTCCGGTTCCTGAAGGCGAGAGTGTATGTTGTTCGAGGGGCAATACCCCTTTTCATGTGTTAACATTCCACATATGGTGCAATGTTTAAACAACATGTCATACATAATTTCGATTGTAAGTCCCTCCCCTTTAGGTGATTAAACCTTCCTTGAGAATCGCAGAGGTTTGCGTGAGTTGATATGTATGAGCACACATCCCGTAGATAGGTCAATCGTGTCAACAAAGCCAAGTCTCCCCCCCCCCCATATCCCTCAAGTTTCTGTCTGTCCAGAAGTGCAACGGCAACCCAACAAACTGAACCCAAAAAGGAATTATCTAGGGATAATCATCGTGTACAATCGGTTCCCATCGAACCAGCACAAACATACAGAAGTTGTAATGAAAAGGTCCATGTCGAAGAACAGAGTTTAGGTCATCCTCAGAGGTGTAGTTCAGAAGAAACTTCCCATTTCCTAAATCATTTGCAATGATTTTACCCTCCATACCCCATTGTGATGTCATTGTTTGTATAAGCTTATCCACCTTTTGTTTTTTGGGGTTTAGGATCTTTCCAATCAAAGAGAGGCGAAACTCCAATATGACATTTGCATTGTCATGATCCGTAAGCTGGATAGGTTCGTCATCATTCTCATAAGCCAATCCTTTCCCCTTCACATCCGCCATATGAGCGGGTTGAAACCGAACCACATATCCCATTCAGAGACAATTGTCTATATCTCGTGAGTGTATCTGAAGAACAAACTGTTGCAGATTATGTAATGAATCAAGAACACCAAGAAGTGTATCATTGTTATTATCGTTGTGAGATCGTAAGCCGTCGAAGGTTAATATGGCCTTGTAATTCGAAAACGTCAATGAACGTTCCCAGTTACTGAGATAAGATTTCAATGGAAACTTATATCAACGAAACATAGCACCCCCACAGCCAATCCCCATTCGTTCCTTGATGAGTACTCTAGTGAAAACAACTTTGTCGAATGGAAGACTTCAAATGGGCCACCACGATTATCGTAGAGACCCCCTGGTGAAGTTGACAAAGATGCTTCGGTAGTCGGAAGAGTAAATTGCCGTCAAGAGAGATCAGATCTGGAAATCGCCATCTTGATCGCCGTCTTGATCGCCGTCTTGAAGCCCTAGCCGTCTCAACAGAATCTGTTTTTATATTCAAAAATGTGGTTTTGTATTGAGTTTCCTAAACAATAAGAAGTAATTAATGATTTCATTAAAAAGATTGTATAGTTGGAGAAAAATAAGGGTATGAGCAAAAATAATGAATAAGTCCAAACAATTTGTATAAGTAAATTTTTTAGGACTCTTTTTCTTTTAATAGTATTGATTAACTACATTTAAAGCCCCAAAAACTATAACCATTAAACAAAATAAACAAAAAAAACTGTATACACAACTATATCAAATCTTAAACCAAATCAATTAAATACATAACTAAAATTAACTTTAAATACAATAATGTACTGCCAAATAATCATGCGGGTAAAACTCTTGTAGCTAGTTAGTGATTATTTAAGAAAAAAATGTACTATAATAAACTTTGAGTGAGAATATAAACAAACGAACTAGCAAAGGTTGAGAAAAAAATAAACTAACAAATATATAATTCAAGAATGTCGAGAAAAATGTTAATGTATAGATTATAGGCCGAGTATATTAAAGAAAAATCGTGGGCTGTTCTAGGAAACTCTAAAACAAAATTAAAGTATCTTATATATTAAAATAGAAGTCACAACCTAGATTCATGTGTGATTTTTTAAAAACGGACTATTCCTTAAGAAGATTATAAATATTATCAAATGTTACATAAATTAATGATAATATCTTAATATATTTATTTTTCTATTTGAAATACAAATGAAATAAATCCAACAAAACTTTTTTGACATCTTTTTAAATTGTATTTCCATAATATTATCCCATATATTTATCTTTTATTCGAAATACAAATGTTTTTGTTTAAGATATTAAAATTTATCTAGATAGCATTATATATTCCTAAATCCTAAATAAAAAACTATATATGAGAGTTTAACCCACACAATTTTTTCTTTTTATAAATATAACACTTTGATAGTATTATAAAAAAAATAAATATCTGATTTACATTTAATGTTATATATTATATAACTCTATAATTTAGTTGTTTAAGTTTTTCATTCTTCATTATTAATATATAGTAATTTGTTTTATATATTTTAATTTATATTCTTATTGATTGTTATTACTAAATAATATATTTTTGAGTTTGATACATAAATTATAATTTAAAATAATTAAATTATAATCTTCTTTAATATAGAGTTTTAATTTCTGGAATTTGCATACAATACATTTTAAAATTTATTTAGATACAC